TTATCAATTTCTCGGTGTTCTATTTGGGATTTGAAATCATATGAATTCCTGACAATATTTTGAGTGTCCTTTTGTAGTGGTTGTAGTATCGAGAGTAAGTATTTAGATAGGTTGTATGTCGGTGAGTTGGTGAAATCTATTACTGGTCTCAATGGAACTGTGGGTTTATGTATCTTTGGTTGACCGTAGAATCTTGAAGGTACATAAGACTTTGGTTTTAGTTTAAACCAGAGAGGATTTCCAATTTTGGGTTTCATTTCTTGAAGGACTCTGTTTGTATTTATTTTCATTTTGTTGAATTCGGCGGATTTCTTCTTCTCTTCAATGAGTAAGTATGGTCCTTCAGATAGGTGTTCGATCGCCTTCTTTTCGTAATCCGTTCTGTTCATAATCACGGTGACATTTCCCTTGTCGGCTTTCGTTATAACGATGCTTTTGTCCTTCTTCAAATTTCTTAAGGCTTCATATTCTTGTTTGTTGAGATTAGATGGTATGTTTCGTTGTGTCATTAATATGTGTGATATCTTTTGACGAACAGGTTGTGATTCTTCATTGGTGAATTGTTGTAGAGCAGGTTCAATGATAGGTGCTATTTCCTGGACCGATAATGGCTTTCTGGTGATATTGAAATTCAGACCTTTCTGTAGTAATGAGATTTCACTTTCGGTTAGTATCTTGTCTGACATGTTATGTATGGCTCTAATATTCTTCATATCATTTGTTGAGGTTTTCTTTGGTTGTTTCTTTTCTTCGAGTTTTAAGAATTTTTGTATTTGTCTTCTTTTTGTGACATTATGAAAATGAGATTCTCGTTCATTAAACAGTTTTTGAAAGGATTCATAGATATGACTTGTAACAAGTAATGTTAAACAGTCGTCTATATTTTTGATTCTCATTCGATAAGATTCAAGTTTGATGTTGCAGTTATGCATTCTTTCTCGTAAAAATACCTTGGAGGTATGATTTGCAGCAAGTATGGATTTGTGCGAATATTCAAGAGGTTTAACTCGTAGTGACTTAGGAATAATTCCACTTTGTAGACAGCGTACGTTGAAAATACGATGATTATAGAAGTTACATTTATGCTTTGATAGAGTAATCCGGTTTTTAATTAAGTTATATATGTCCAAACCAAGTTGACTTTTAACGGTTTGAAAAAATTTGGGCATTGGGTATATGATATTCATTATAATAAAGGTTTTTGTATTTCCCAATGAATGAAAAACAAAACGATATTGTTTTTACTGACGTTTCGCTATTTAATGCTAATAGCTTTATCAAAGTATTATTAAACCGGAATTTACAAAATCTCAGCATATATATAACAAACAGTTATGGGGTGAGAAAATAGACATAGGTCAAGTTAAAGGGACATATTGAAAGTAAAAATAGCGATGAAGATAACTATACCAAATAACAAAGGTAATAGTATGTCTGTTATGATATCGAAAAAAGAAAGAAAAGTTTACTAACTTGATCATCGTTCGTCTGTCTGGGGCATTTTTAGTTGTTAAGTTGGTGAATTGGTAAAGATAACAAAATCATCATGTGTAGATTGTTGGATTTGATAAAGCTATTAGCATTAAATAGCGAAACGTCAGTAAAAACAATATAGTTTTGTTTTTCATTCATTGGGAAATACAAAAACCTTTATTATAATGAATATCATATACCCAATGCCCAAATTTTTTCAAACCGTTAAAAGTCAACTTGGTTTGGACATATATAACTTAATTAAAAACCGGATTACTCTATCAAAGCATAAATGTAACTTCTATAATCATCGTATTTTCAACGTACGCTGTCTACAAAGTGGAATTATTCCTAAGTCACTACGAGTTAAACCTCTTGAATATTCGCACAAATCCATACTTGCTGCAAATCATACCTCCAAGGTATTTTTACGAGAAAGAATGCATAACTGCAACATCAAACTTGAATCTTATCGAATGAGAATCAAAAATATAGACGACTGTTTAACATTACTTGTTACAAGTCATATCTATGAATCCTTTCAAAAACTGTTTAATGAACGAGAATCTCATTTTCATAATGTCACAAAAAGAAGACAAATACAAAAATTCTTAAAACTCGAAGAAAAGAAACAACCAAAGAAAACCTCAACAAATGATATGAAGAATATTAGAGCCATACATAACATGTCAGACAAGATACTAACCGAAAGTGAAATCTCATTACTACAGAAAGGTCTGAATTTCAATATCACCAGAAAGCCATTATCGGTCCAGGAAATAGCACCTATCATTGAACCTGCTCTACAACAATTCACCAATGAAGAATCACAACCTGTTCGTCAAAAGATATCACACATATTAATGACACAACGAAACATACCATCTAATCTCAACAAACAAGAATATGAAGCCTTAAGAAATTTGAAGAAGGACAAAAGCATCGTTATAACGAAAGCCGACAAGGGAAATGTCACCGTGATTATGAACAGAACGGATTACGAAAAGAAGGCGATCGAACACCTATCTGAAGGACCATACTTACTCATTGAAGAGAAGAAGAAATCCGCCGAATTCAACAAAATGAAAATAAATACAAACAGAGTCCTTCAAGAAATGAAACCCAAAATTGGAAATCCTCTCTGGTTTAAACTAAAACCAAAGTCTTATGTACCTTCAAGATTCTACGGTCAACCAAAGATACATAAACCCACAGTTCCATTGAGACCAGTAATAGATTTCACCAACTCACCGACATACAACCTATCTAAATACTTACTCTCGATACTACAACCACTACAAAAGGACACTCAAAATATTGTCAGGAATTCATATGATTTCAAATCCCAAATAGAACACCGAGAAATTGATAAAGAAGACATTATGGTAAGCTATGATATTAACTCATTATATACTAGTATCCCCATTACCGAAAGTCTTGATATCATCTCCAGTCTTCTAGAATCAGATACAACGCTATCCCAAAGATGTCCACTGGACACCAGTCAAATAATTAAGAGCTTAAAATTCTGTCTAGAAAATAATTATTTCACATTTAAAGGGAGTTTATATAGACAGACAAATGGTGTTGCTATGGGTTCACCAGTCTCACCAATAGTCGCCGACCTTTTCATGAATAAATTCGAAAATAACATCTTTTCAAGCATACTCACTCCTAAAATATGGTTAAGATATGTGGATGATACTTTTGTAGTACTAAAACGAGATCTACACAATTCATTCCTGGAGAAAATAAACTGTGTATGTCCCAGAATCCAATTCACTTCGGAAGCAGAATCAGACATCGGTGAACTACCATTTCTAGACTGCCTAGTTAAGAGAAAGGAAAACGGACATTTTAGTATATCCATATTCAGGAAGAAAACCCACTCAAATAAATATTTAGACTTCAAGTCATCACACCCCATCAGCGCAAAGATTTCAGTTGTTTCAAGTCTTCTTAGACGAGCACACTCTCTGATAACCGACGAGAAAGAAAAAGAAGAAGAAATATCAAACATTACTGAAACTCTCAAGCAAAACAACTACCCATGGAACTTCATCAACAAAATCAACACAGACATCAAGTATGGCCGAAAACGCATCCCGAAAACATGGACATCAACAGTCGTCATTCCATATAGAGAAGAGACGTCAGACGATATCAGAAGAGTACTCAATCAGCTCGATATTAGAGTTTTCTTCAAAACATCAGACACACTTCAAAGCAACCTTGTCCATATAAAAGACCAAATCCCTAAAGATTCGCTATCTAATTGTGTCTATAAGATAAAATGCTTAGAATGTGATGCGATATACATCGGACAAACTTCTCGAGAAATCAAAATCAGAAGAAATGAACACCGTAGAGCATCTCTTCGACCGCCGAAGAATCCTGTTGAACTACAAAGACTTGAAAAATCATCAGCCATAGGTCTACATGCCATAGAATCAGGCCACAAAATTGATTTTGACAATGTTGAAATAATCCAGAAAAACTTCAGAAATCACGAAGAACGTTTAATATCAGAAGCACTTCATATTAAGTGGAATCAAAATTGCCTGAATAGGAATGATGGACTAAAACAGAATCTGACCTGGTTACAACACCTCCCTCCCCCCCATCAAGTGACAAAACCAACACGAATGTGATAAGCACTTTCATTATGTAAACACACGCTGCTTTTATAATCTCATACACTTATCAAATCCAACAATCTACACATGATGATTTTGTTATCTTTACCAATTCACCAACTTAACAACTAAAAATGCCCCAGACAGACGAACGATGATCAAGTTAGTAAACTTTTCTTTCTTTTTTCGATATCATAAAAGACATACTATTACCTTTGTTATTTGGTATAGTTATCTTCATCGCTATTTTTACTTTCAATATGTCCCTTTAACTTGACCTATGTCTATTTTCTCACCCCATAACTGTTTGTTATATATATGCTGAGATTTTGTAAATTCCGGTTTAATAATACTTTGATAAAGCTATTAGCATTAAATAGCGAAACGTCAGTAAAAACAATATCGTTTTGTTTTTCATTCATTGGGAAATACAAGAACCTTTATTATAATGAATATCATATACCCAATGCCCAAATTTTTTGAAACCGTTAAAAGTCAACTTGGTTTGGACATATATATTTTCAAGTGTGATTAAGCTTTATTGTAAACCGCAGGTTCCAGTTATGCGGTAGTTAATGGTGTACAGCTAGTGCGAATGTAATACAACACGCTTTGATTCTTTCGGCCTACTTTAGAGAATCTCTTGTTCAGATTGGCACCCCATTTATGATGGCATTTGTAGTGGCTCGTGCGACATATATATATATATATATAGTAATAAATTTCTTTGTTTCCCTATATGTGTGTTCCTTCTTAAGGTGTTACGTCGACGTAAGAGGCAATCAAAAGGTGTTTTGGAGAAACGGGTGTAAACAAGCAGCAACTAATCCTTACAAACCAAACTATAGAAAAGCAGCTATACATTAACGATCCATTTCCACGAACCTTGTGATGCCTAAAATTGAATATGTTGGACGTCCATCTCTTCATTTCTATGGCAAACTTTTATCAGAAATTGCCAAAAACTTGAAGAACCGTGCTAAAGGCAGGATAGTTATAAAGGAGACTGAGTTTGCAACATTCAAAGAACCCTGCTACTACATTTTGGATAACGTTGTCCCACTAATGTCCGACACAGTTAGTATTTTTTTTCAGTATTTCCAATTGTGTTAATTGAGTTAAACAGTTTTATTTCTCATTCAGGTGTAGATTATCATTCCATAAGTAGTTAAAGGGAGAAAATTGTATCTTCGGTCTTCTGTTCACAGAGAATATTGGGATTTCCATAATATATTAAGTAAGAATAAATGAATTTGAAGATAAAGACAGGGGTGAATCTTTGTTTACTTTGGTGATTGGAGAGTACTTTGAACGATTACTGGCACTATATTCTCACGAAAGTAATATTAGATGGAGTAAATCCATGTCGGAAACAAGTTAGGTGTAGTCAGGCCTAAATAATACATCAAGTTTATGACGGTTGGCCTGGGTCAAGTAGGGGAAGCCCAGATTACCTGGTTGTGATACTCTGATTGAAAAGAATTAATGTTTTGAGAATATAGTTAACAAAGCGTTGCAAATTTCGTAGTAAGGCAAAAGAGTTCATTCTTTATAGTGGCAATTTAGAATGTTTTGACGAATGTGGATCTAAGTATTGTTTGTTGCTTCGCACATATTTGTTTGCTTTGCTACTATTCCGTTTCTATGCCTTTTATTTTTGTCCTGACTTGGAATATAGCGAATTAGAATAATTTGCCTTTAAAACATGAAAAGTACACATCATGGCATTAGAGCGAAAACGAGAATTTGATCAGGAAATTTTTTTATTCTCAGTATCTATATGACCACAACTTTATGCATTCTACTTGTATAAGTTAACACAGTTTTGGATATTATTTAATTGGACATAGTCATGGCACAGTTGAAATTAAGTGGTGATAACAATAATTCTTTTAACTTGTTTTCAAACTTGCAAATGTTATATGGAGTGAAGATTAATCGGAAAGAGCACAAATACCATCTAGGTCTAAAATCATTTATTTATTGTTATTTATTTTAATCCTTTGCGTTCTGAGTGGAGCTTTTAAATGTCATTAGCCATGGCGTTTATTCCTTACGGGGTGGGGTTGCTAGCTTCACCCCCAACCTTCCCTATTTTTCGGTCTTATTGTCGGCTAAATGAGATCAAAGAGTGCGTTGGCGGGGGGTCGGACCCCAGGCTAACTCCGACTTCCCTTCCTGCATATTATAACGAGGATTTGTGCAGCAAAAAGAGGTTGGAGATACATTGCTTTCGGTAGATCTCTCCTCACTTTTTAAATGACTCCGAATTGGTTAACGGAGGTTTCACTTCTTTGCATTTCTGTTCATACCCTGATTATATCTTATTTTCCAGAAGGAAATTTTATAAGTTTGCTGTATAAAAATTGCAACTCTACAGCTGTTGAGAATGAAATCATCGAAACCACATGTTTTTCTGTCGCTCAACTCATTTTTTTTCTAGGATGTATCTTTATCCTGAGTTCTATTTTGATCAGTTTTCTTCAGTATTTATGATTAGATTAGTCTATTTGGTAAGAATGAATTAAAATGAAGTAAATCCTATACACCGTTGTGTAATCAACGTCATTTTTTCATGAAAACTGCTTGATAGTGCAGGTGGTTTACCACGTTGCTTTTTGTTAAGAGAGTGAAATAAAAGTATCGTAGTACCGTTATTTCAAGCGTCGTAAAACTTCCAAATTGCATGAGTACTCACAAAGTAATTTTATGACGATATGCTTTGTGTCATTGGGGCTTCTTCTGTCAAATAGGCTCATACTTTTTAATCCCAAATTAATGAGGAGGTATCTGCAATAATATGGCAGATTAGTCATTTCGAACTAACAGTATGTCTTTGTTAAATTACCAGGTTACGTAACAATATTATGTTCAGTTTCTGGATGACTTTTACTCAGATATATTTCTTTCACTCATTTGCCTTCCGAGTGGAATATAAAGCCTTAAAATTTCAGCTTTAAAGTTTCACTAGCTCTTGTGCTATTTTTATGGGGTGGAATTTCTAGTCTGACTTCCAGTCTTCCCTTTCTTCCGGGTTTGCTATCAGCTAGACAAAGCCTTAGGAGTGCGTCAGACGGGAATCCGACCCGAAGCACGTGCGTGGTTGGTGATCATTTCACTGCTTAACCATCGATGCACTTACTTGGGTACTTTTATGTAAGATATAACACAATAAACTAACACACGATTATATTATTCAGCAATTTAATGTTTGAGGTTTTTACTGTAATGATAAAACTAATATTAGAGGTTTCAAAATCTGAAGCCAAAAAGTTTTATCCTAGTGCTTCTATGTAAACTGGTACCAATACGAATCATGCGATTTTGTTGAGTTTCTTAAAATCGCCGACTAAGCATTGAAGCTCCTCTCTGATTTATGTAAAATTGTCTTCTTTATGTGTTTGTAGTTTTATCAAAAGTTATTTTTTTTGTGGTGTTATTAAAACATCTTTGTAAGTCTTTGACCGAGCACATAACTTTATACTCAATATTTAATTAGTTTCGTGATTAAAATCAAGATTTCTTTTAGTGAACTAGTGTTTTCTTCCTTCTGATTAAGTAAATTGCCTTCTTAATTAGGTTTATAAATACTTTTTAGCATGTTTGATCATTCTCACACAACCCTTGAAAGGAGTATTCATTTTCTGTCAATTCATTCACATTTATTTTTTTACAGTCCTCTGTTAGATGTAGAGCTTGGGGTAGAAGAATATTTCGGGGTCGAGATTTAGGCTACGCTCTCATACCAAAAACACATGAAGCAGATTGGCGTCTTCTTTCACCTAGCGAAGCAGAAGATTTGTTGAAGAAGAATAATTTAGTTGCTCCAGATGTTCCAGTCAGTTGTGTTGCTCAAGCACCTCCTTTGTTGACAATTCTCTTACGTAGAAAGCATATACTCCCACCAGAAGTAGTTGAACAGGCTGAAAAATCAACACAATCCTTATCTATGCAACAGTCAATGAGAGAGGCTAGTGGATTATTACTGTTAACGCCTCACCATTATGATCCAACAGACTTCAAAGTAAGTTTAGTTTTTGTGGTGTTTGCTGATCGCTAATTTCTTTGCTGATTTTCCGTATGATATCATTACCTATGTAAACTAATTACAGGTAATTGCTTGTAGCTAATTATGAGCACCTAAAGGACGACTATCCGTTGACTAACTTATTATATCTAATTTGATTTGTAAGCTGTCATGTGTACAACCTATATATAGTCTGCTGTTTCTTCGGTATTCTGTAACCTATTTTCTTATATTCATAATTTCTTATCACCGAAGTAATTCGACAACACACAAAACCGTGTGTTACTAATATTTTAGATTCCAAAGGCTGCTTCACTTTATATACTGTTAACACTAATATAATTACGTCAAAATGTTAGATCCAAGTAAACAACTAGCGGATAAATTTGCTACAACATAGATGTGGCTTAAGTACACGACTTCCAGCTGTATATCCCACCACACCTACTTTAGCCGAAGCATCTGGGTAGTATCATCAGCCCTCGCATGAAAAATGTGACTTTGTAACCTCATACGGGAGAAATCGGTGCCGTAATTAACAGTACTTTTAAGTGAAGAACACAAAAGCATCGTACTAAAATAATAATCACGTGATCGGTTGGATAGTGTCATTGTGTCCAAGTGATACTTACACCATTGTCTATATGGTTTTGCTGTGTATGAAAAACTATTTTTAATAGGATAAATACGGTTTTTTTATGTTGTGAATGTATTGACCGTGTATTTAGTTTGTCCAACTGATTCAGTACTGTAGTAAGTTTTGCAATCCATCCGGGGTCTTTGGGATTCTAAGAACCACTGGGTGGAGGCTGTAAGTGATATCGCTCAAAAGTGGTCTTCAATGGTGCAGATACATCAGTATTTGTAATCTCCCAGATCCTTTGAATTCTCATGTTTTTCCGTGTTACTATTCTTTCTGTCATACACTTCTACTCCTTATAATTCATATGGACTTCTGTTTTTCTTTTCCCTACTCTTGCGCAATTCTATGTTGAAACTCAGTGCAGCCCATCTCATAAGCGCTTATGCATAACTCTAGATTGATCACTAGACTCATGGCATGATTTCTTAGTTTCAAATATTTTAAAACTATTTATTATCATAGTTTACAATTAGAAAACAACCATCAGTTAGAAAAAGGAGATTTTTCTGGTAAAAAAGAACTCAAAGCAAGCAAGTTGGTCGTCAAATCTTTACTAGTAGTGTCAAAAAATCCTTATTGGACAGAATTTTTTGAATTTTGTTGCTGACGCATACGCCTTAGAAGTTTTGTGAACTTTAGAGGCGATGCACAACACCGCGAATGGAGTAAAATCACACGGTTATTTGTGTGAACTGTTCTAAAAGACATACACAGTAGTGGTGTATGGGAAGACCTTTAAATTTCTCAAGTGATAAGATTTAATTTTGTTGAGACATGTTGGAAAACTAATGAAGAGGCATGTTTCTAGTTTATAAGAATAAAAGGTTTCTTGCGTCATCAAAGTGAGAATCATTTGTGGAGAAGTGACAGGAAATCGCGCTTGCTCTGACACTTTCCGAACAGTTAAAGGTATCCTAAAACCTCTAGTACAAACTGTCTGACGAATCAATCTTGAAATTTGTAAAGGTATTAGTAAGTTTAAGTTGCTACAAAGGTTTCATTTTGCAATTATGTTTCTCTTAACCAGTTATCTCTAGCAGACTCCTCTGTCTGAATGAAAACCGCTACTTCTGTCGAATTAACTATTTCTTGTGGCAGTACGTTGAAAGAAATCTGGAGGGACTTCTTAAGGCATAATGACTGCCTTCATTCAAAGGAGTGAAAGCACTTTAAAATAGGGGCTTTCGAAGGCACAACATATTTCTTCATAGTTATTATAATACCTTTTTCGTGGTTTCAAATGTTGCTAGAATAAGTAGAGAAGTGGTTAGTTTCGTGACATGGTACCATATGGATAATAAAAATGTGCTGGATTGTCATTATAGTGAGTTAAACAGCCCCTGTGAGGTCATCGGGACGAATAACTTTAGGAATTAGTAGACACACACTAGAAGCAAAGTCAAACATATTGACTGGTAAAGTGTTACATAAGCACCTCTAATATTTGCTTTTCTTATTCATGGTTATGAAAAGTTCACACAGTTTTCAGCAGATAATTAGTTTGTGTTGGAACCAATTTTTTGACTTCAAAGGGAATCTATCATTTAGGTGTTTCCGTACACTTTATGAGTAATATACTTTGTCTCGAATTCTCTTTCAATACTTGATTCATTTATGTGACTGAGTGGCTGAGTTTTCAGCGTAGAAGTTTGCACAAATTTGCAGCAATTCAAGTTGCTACACTTCATTTAGCACAAGAAGGTAGGGAAAAAAAGATGTAACAGAATTATAATAAACGAAACATGTACGGGTGAAACGAAATTACATGCAGAAACCTGATTTAATTTATCTGGCAGATCAGAAATAATGTGTGCATATGCACCACTTAGAACACTTTGAAGCTACATTACCAATAGTTTCCAACCATTAGGTCTCAACACTCTGAGGACCCCGACTTCCCTACGTGGTTGGTTCAAACCAACTTTCACAAACTTTATGAATTGATGTCAGGTTTTGGTTTGAGTCTTTTCCAACCTACTCCTATGTTACCTAACATTTCTCGACATGGAAGGCAGTGACTCGGTGCCCGCTACACGTATCCCAACTATCTCAATCAATACAGATATACAACCAAATCGGTTAACTTGCCCTCCTTATATGTAATCTCAGTATTGCCCACCGTATTATACCACTTATCACGGGAGAAAGCACCCTAATGCGCTTAGCGTTTCCCTATCCTGCACTTTCAGTAGGCATGTCTCACAGCCTTTACAAGAGAATAGAGCGGACTGCTGTGCAGTGCACACACATCTTTTGGTTAATAGCCGGATATCATGCCTACAACAGAAATGACGTGAGTTGTCAAATATCACACAAGCCTTTCTTTTGTTCCGTACTGAGATTTTTCCAGCAATCAGTCTATTAGGGCTGATGGAACTTCTCAAATAAATGAAGTGGTCAATACGACCAACCACTTCATTCCTTATATTTAAATTGGAAGTCGGTGCAGAGCAGTCTTGCAGTATTATCTTACATATTTGTAAACTAGTTTCTGTGTCAGTTGTCATTTTATTCAAAAATTTAATGTATATATATTTTTTAAAAATTTAGGTTCCTATAGAGCCAACGGAAGAAGAAAAGGCGCGTATGTATCCTCCTTATGAATGGTCGTCCAAAAAGGGATTGATTATAAAGCCTAATTTGAATAAAGACACTTATCTAATTCGACGGTCAGATACGCCTGGATTATATTGGCGTGTTCATTTGTCTAAATCAACAGAAGGCGATTCCGTTAATGAGACAGTTACAAAAACAGAAAATTGATGTAAATAGTCATATTCATTATTGTCGATAATATAGTACTTATATACTGTATATGTATACTACTTATATATGAAATCTGTTGGTTCACTTATTTATTAAGATAGAATAAAATTTCAAGTTCATTGGTGAACTGACATCATTTAGGGAGCTTTGAAAACCAAGGAACAATGGAGAGCTGGGTTCAATTCCCTGGTGGGCCCATGAGTAATAGTAGTAGTAACAGTAATAATATTGCTATTATTCTCTTGGGTCCCTAGTGGAATAGAGGACTTCAGCAGCGCATCGTCAACCTGTTCTCTGCATTATTTTTCAGCTGGCCCTATGATTGTCTTTAAACTTTCATCTGCTCCTCATACAATCTGCATATCACCGACGGACTACGAAGTCATGGTTTCCCATTCGCGTTCTACTCAAGGATTTGCCTGTTACAAAAGTGCAGCTGTTGATTGAAGTCTACAGCCTGTTAGAAGTGCCTTTTTATGACATGAGAAGAGTTATTTAGTAACCTTTAAAATGTTGAGTATTCACAGCTTGTTTGACTTAGGTATTCTGTAAAAAGTTTTCAAGCCGGTTTAGATGTTATCCTGTATGAATTGTCTCCTGGAGGAAGGGGTTGGGATTAACTATATTGTATTCTGCATTATTGTACTTCAGTCAAATGTACTTCAAAGTATCAAGATTACTCTAATTTTACTTGGAATTGTGGTTGTTTAAATTAGGTGTTAAATTTGTGACCAGTGATTGAAAAGTTCAAAAGTTATTCTTATGTTTAATGAGGTTCGTACAAGCTTAATATAAAAGGATTGGTTCATTTTATAGTGTATAAGCTTATACGTGGTTTCTAATTTGTATTATTTCTCTCTTATTATGCCTATATCATCAGTATAGGACATTATATGAAGGTGTCCACCATCTCTAAATAGCTTAATGTTGCGTGTGTTACTGAGAAGAATTTGTAAGCAGCATATTGATGCGTCGGTGGCACAGCGGTTAAGACGCTCTCCGACCATGCACATAGTCCGGGGTTCGATCCCAAGCTAACGCATACCTGGTAACGATGGTCGGCCTCCTGAATTCGGGTTACCGATATCACATGCCGAAAATTTCACAGTTGTACCGAAAAAAAACTGTGTGAAATCAAGCCATAATAAAAATAATAAATTAGAAAAATTACAATGTCTTATGCAAGAATCTTTAGTGAAGGAGTGATGGATTGAGTTGTAAACCTTCACAAACTAGAAAGTAATTGTGACACAGTGTAGAAAGCATGAAATAAATAAAGACAAAAGAATCAGAATAGACATGGTTTTTATGAATTGCAATTTCAATGTAAGCTCTTTGTATTCTGGCAGTAAATATCTCTGTGTTCAGCCGTTACAACATTTCAGGAATAACTTAGGGGAAGTTATTTGCGTTTTTCAGCGCCAATCACCATCAACGGAAGGGATTTGAAAGAGGTTACTTCATTCACTTATCTAGGGAGCATTGTCTCAACTACAGGAGGAACGGACGAAGATGTCAAATCGAGAATCGGGAAGGCGAGCAACACATTCTTCAACCTAAAACCAATCTGGAAATCTTCGTCACTCAGCATCAACAACTTAGCGGGTCACAAAGAATATTTCCAACAGCTTGTTGCAGACCTTTATCAACAGCTGTCTTCGCTCTATACTCAAGATCAGATGGCTGGAAAGAATCACCAACTGGAAACTATGGAAACAAACAAAACAAGAACCAATCACCCAACAAATATGCAGGAGAAAGTGGAGATAGATCGGACACTCGCAGAGGAGGCCGCTGGGTGACATCGCGCGTCAGGCCCTTGAGTGGAACCCGAAAGGGAAGCGGCGAGTTGGACGTCCAAGGGTGACATGGAGGAGATCGTGTGAAGAGGAGCTGAAACAGTATGGACTAACATGGATGCAGGTGAAAAGTACAGCAGAAGACAGAAACAAGTGGAAACGTGCAGTTGAAGCCCTATGTTCCACTAGGAACCCAAGGGAACAATATTAAAAAAAATATAATAATATTTGCGTTTTTTGTTGTTGTGATTAATGCATGAGTACAAATCAGTCACATTAGGCTAAGCAGTATGTCTCACAATCCCTAATGCTAATCAGCAAGTGATAAACAGAACTGTGTAGAATCTTTATGGAGACCTGGATAACTTTAAGTTATCACGTTTCGAAAAACCACATAAATATAAGTGAATCAAATCAGAATAAAATTACAGTGGAAGGATATGTATGTGAAACGATACGTTAAAACTAAGCGAATATGACTAAAAGTATTGTAGTTAATTATCGGTTACGTCATCACTGTTTGTTATCTCTTGGAGGACTACATTTACGTAACTTATGCTGCGTTACATAACTCACGGACTCCATGGGTCAGAGACTTGTTTCTCTCAAGCTGTTCTAACTTTCTAAATGTTGTACTCACTTCAGCTAATATTATTTTTTTAGCGGAGCCACAAGCTTATCATATGGAATACATGTCTGAAGCGGAATGATTAGTAAGGATTGGCTACCTCATGAACTGCGTCGGTGGCACGGCGGTTAGGACGCTCGCCGACCATGCACATGGCCCAGGTTTCGATCCCCGGCTGACGCACTCCTTTACCTCGCTAAGCCAGTAATAAAAAAGTGGTAAAGACGAAAGGTTGGGCATGAGGCTAGCAACCCCATCCTGTAAAAAAAAGTAATCACTGCTACAGAAACTTCAAACCTCTAGTTTGAAGCCCTATGTTCCACTGGGAACGTGAAGGAATACCAAAAAAACAACTTCATGAACTGATGTATTTCCTTCGGCACACGTGAGCCATGTTAGGAAAACATTTGTAAAAAAACCTCTAATGGCAAAGTTAAACTTTAAGCACCACTAACTATCAATCAACGAATGACTTCGAACGCACCAATCACATGAAGGAGGCATTTTTGTGTATTGAATGCATATATTTATGGAAAAATAGCATAGAAACTGTAGAAAAGTGTCACGGAGGATACTTTCCTCTCACATGTGATAAAAATAGCTCTCAGTTTTAGGTTGCAGTATCAACAGAGTGTAATTCCATTGTGGGTAAGAATTATTTTGATAAAGTTTCATAGTGTTATACAGTAATATTTACTGAGCAATAAATTGTTCTCGAAATGTCATCAATAAATATTACTATATAACACTGTGAGACTTTATCAAAATAAATTTTATCCACAATGGAATTATACTCTTCCACAGTGCATAAGTCCTATTCTTATATCAACAGAGAAATTTAACCACATTTTATGCACGTAATTATTTAGGTCTTCTAACCCTAACCCTAATCTTTCCTGAACCTTACCCCAACGTGAAAATATCCCTAAACTAACTGTAATCTAACTCGAACCAACTCTAATGTCGCCTTTATCAGGTTAACCTAACCCTAACTTGTCCTTGACTTAAACCGTAACTTAATGTTTCCCAAACCTAAGCTGTAACTTGCCAGATATCTTATTTAATAACACAACACTTCAATTAGCATATTTTATTGATGATGACAACATTATTTGCCGGATTTCACTAAATTGCTCAGTGAGCGTTTCAACATCATTGGTGCAGCCGCTCTCCATTGTTGGTTAGTGGTGCTTACAGTTTACCTTGGCCCCTTTAATCTTGTGACGTCTCCAACAGTCATATGTCAGACTAACTGAGTGGACTTTTGCATGCTTTATCCACGAGACTATCTCATTGACTGCCAATGTCAACTGAACCTCTTTTCTATGCACGAATATTCTCTCAGGAAGGAGTAAATAGGAAATGACACAAAGGTCTAGATAAATCTAATGGTCAGTTTATTGAATCTTAAAACTAGAATCTCCTGTAAAATAATACTGTAGCATCATGCCAAAATCTGACGGAGATTAAACACATATTGAATATACTCAAAGTTTTCACTGGTTTCATTCAGAAATTCGCATTTTTTAGGCGTCTTAATTTAAAAGGAGTAATCCGTCCATACACTTTAAGTCTACACGGTCTTCACCGGGTAAAGAGTCAAATCCTTAAAGGTTGCAGTAATACATCCGCTAGTACATTTGTAACAAAATTCATTCAATGCATTGACATTTATCATTCTCTGCGGACAAGCTGCTTGAGTTTGACTGGCTTCTTTGACGGCAACATACTTTCTCATCATTAGCTCTAGAGGTATGGACATAACCACATTTGTCGGTCGATTGTTCAATTTCAAGTAATGTGGTAATCTTTCTGTTGACTGTGATCATCAAGGACTGATGCACTGCAAACTATTTTTTCTATGAATAATCATAAACCCTAGGATCTCAGGTACTACAGTAGTTAAGTTAACCCTGGTATGATTAACGCAAGATCTCTGATGTCTTCAACCACGTCAGCATTCTACATGCTGGTCAATACAGTAAGTGTTTCTCTACCTCTATATACGAACAGTTCTGCATTTGTTATTTAACCTTGTTTCAGATTTAAGATTTGCATCACAACTTTGACTATAGACAACTGATATTTACATTCCATTCAGGTTATCGTTGAGGGACGAATGATCTTAGTTCTTCTGAGGTTTATTTGAAATTCCCTTCAAAGTATTTTACAAAATCTAGCTATCTATCCTGCTAAGTTATCAAAGTCCCACCCATCTTAGGGACAGATTTGCTAAAGCCTGTTTTATTACAAGACTAAATAGTAACTAGGTATTACTAGTGTCGCTATCTCCGCTGTTTCTTTCGCTTTCTTCAACCATTACTTTATTGTCTTTTCGAAAATGACTGTTTCTGCAAGACGAATTTGTCTAACCCTATGGAGAATGCTGAGCATTTATTTTATCACCTCTGATAGTGTATGTTCTGTGACAAAAGAGAGGGAGACTGCTATCCCCTTCGTACGATAATTTTGAGAAATAAGAAGTATTAAAGAAAATGCAAAACAAGTAGTTCATCAATCAGGCTATTTTCGTAGATTTCATCTTCTTTACGTGCAGAATCGCATACATTGTAGTGACCAGATTTATTCGGTTATGATTTGAAAGCAATTAACTAATGTCTACGGTCTACTGTATAGCCGAAAAACTTCGTTAAGACACACGCTATCACAAAAAGTTCC